TTTTGTAAGGGCAAACAAGACTACACACTTTGGTATATAAGAAAACAAATACTTGACAGGTTTATGAAAGTGGCTTAATGAGAAAATCATTACATAATGACATGTTATAGAATCTTATTATAACTTCCCCTAAGCTCTTGGACATGCCCCCTGTTGGGCTGATCTGATTCAATGTGGTTCAATTCAGATTTGACCTGATTTAAATAGGTGTCAGGTACGTAAATTCTGTACTTTGAAAAAGCTCTAAACAAGTGTTCATTGAAAATGGTGCATTTGTAAGCTGATTCTGCACGGATGTTGAGCAGAATTTGAAACGCTGAGGAAAGGAAGTGAATTCAAATCACTAATGTTTCTTTCCCGTTCTCTGCTGCTCAAGGAGGAAAGAGTTTACCTGGAGTTTTCTCATGCTGCTAAATCTCACTGCCATCGTGGTCTCTATGCCTAGACCTGAAAGGAAGGCATCCTGATCTGCAGGACAATCAGATGGATTGTTTCCACACTGAATCGGCCTTTTCTTCCTTATCTTAAGCCCACATTTATGTCATTTTCACCTTTTTAACCAGTATAAAATGCCAGATCTGAGATTACACCAAGGCTAAAATTTTTAAGGTCAGAGCTCTATAGTTCTGCTACCCAACACTTCCCATCACAAGGAAAATTCTCATGCTTGAAGAAATGTATTTTAATTTAATAATTGAAACTCTTGAGATATCATTCATGAATATGATAATATTTTTATGGACTCATAGATTTTAAAACATTAAAGACCACTGTATGTCTAGTGTAACTAAAGCATTGCTACTGATGCAGAATTTAATTTTCTAAGTTTGCATATGATGTGACACCATCTTGAGAGCAAGGTGATTCCCTAGGAAAATGAGAAACCTATCTCTGTGAACTCAATTTAAAAAAAAAAAACAAAAAAAACAAAACCAGAAACTCCCAAACAGCCAAAAAAAAACCCTAAAAAGATGTCTCATTCCTCTAAGGCATTTAGAAGTATAAAAATAACCACAATTTTCCATGTTAGGTATTCAGGAGATTACTCCATGTGAAAAAACTGTAAATAATTTGTATTCATAATATCAGTGGAAGAATGATTGTGCCCAGGGCAACCGAGATAACTAATTGGTTTTATACTTAAGGGATATGAAAAACAGTCCCAATATAACACTTGAAACCTGTAGTCTATTTCTGCATGGGGTTTATTTCTTTATTATATATTAATATATGTTTGAATGCATGATAGTATAAATATGATCTCAGGGTTTGTTGTCACCCGAGATCTGTTGCAGAGATGGACGCTTGTATCTTATGAATTAAGTAACAGTTGAGATTTTTGTTTAAGATTACTCACACTCATTTTTCAGTAATGAATATGTAGTAATCTACCTTGCTAAATAAAAAAGTCTAGACCTTCATAATACTATAACTGTCTTTGTCTGTACCCATAGACTATAAACTTGCATGGTTCCAGTTTAAACTTTCTCCAAGACAAAACTAGGTGTGTCTAAGCAAAACAATCTGGTCATTCATCTGGAATACTTCCCTCAGCAAAGTCTGAAAGCAAAGTGAGACATCATCAGAGTTTTAGAATCATAGATCCTTCTGCCCTGAACAACTCCTGCTGTCTTTGCATTCACAAGCTAAAGTATGCCACATACCTGTTTCATGCCACAGTGTTAACCTGAATCACAGCCCTTGTGTTATTTCACACATTTTAAGCAGGCAAAAATGTCTGTGAAATAGTAATGTCTTAAAGTAAGGGGAAGCAGATGGCATCCAGAGGCCACATCTGGATTGCATAGGGCATAGGTCACAGACGCTAGTACTTGATCACTGAAACCATTATGGTCTTAGAATACAGAGGGCCAGGTACCATTTAGTCTTTTCTGTGGATATATGTATTCCAAATCTATTTCTTAAGAAACTTGAATATAGTTTTCTTCACTCTTGCTGTTATCTATTTTTTGTTATTAGAAGTTATTACTAGCAGAGAAGTTGAACAATAAAATACAATGTGTAGAAAATGTTATTTATGTCAAAAAGACAATAAATTTATTGAACTGACAAAAAATGACAGTGCTTCCTATGTTCACAATTATCTTTCTCTTTTGTCTGTATCACATTCTATCTTTAGATCTGTATATGTCTGAGAGGAGAAGTAGGCTAAAAAGACGTGTTATTTTCATCTTTGGCTTGTGTTTCATGCCCTTGCACTTGAAGACAAGTGATTAATTACAACAGAAACGATGCAGTTAGTAGTAGTATTCTCAAGAGAGTATCTTCACTACCACTGCATTTGCACATAATGTTTCTGCCAATAATTCTGCTCTGTTGTTTTTTACAGGAAATAATCCTGGCTATTGCGATGATCCAGGAGTACCAGCTCATGGGTCTAGACTAGGGGATGAGTTCAAAATAAAAAGTCTGCTACGTTTCTCATGTGAAATGGGTTATCAGCTTAGAGGGTCTGCAGAACGAACATGCCTGCTTAATGGTTCCTGGTCAGGTATACAGCCTGTATGTGAGGGTAAGTATTGATACCATCAGCATTTATGACACCATTGAATGACATTTGCTGATATTTTTATTTTTAGTTAAAAAGAAATGTGCTTTCATGTTATTCTACAGAAATTTGATATAAAACAATTTGCAAGCAGTTTGCATTTCTCTTGAAAACCTAAATTGAAACTGATAAAGTTTTGGAGTATATATTCATAAGAAGAATGTGAGAAAATATTTCTAGTTAAACAAATATTGATCCTGAAAATACGGAATACATACCTGAGTTAAATGTAAAATTAAACAAATACTTTTGATTGAAGAGATGAAAATGGACTGATAAATAAATGTCATACATCTTCTAACAATACGATATTTTCATCTTCTCTTTCTGTGTCGTGTCTATGTATCAAGGACTGAACAGATGATAAAACAATGTTGTATTCTTAACTAAGTATAAATTAATGTAAGTTTCTCCACATAGGTGAGATGAATTTTTTATGACATATATTATTTTTATGCTAGCTCTTTCAGAAGAAATGCAAAAGAGAATATTTCTGGAAATCACATTTTAGAATACGATAAAAACATAATAAAGAATGTTTAGGCCTTTTATGCACTGTCAGAATTGGAAAGCAGTAATGGAAGACTTTAGATTCAGTTTTCAAATTACTTCCTGTTTTCCAAAAATGTTTGTAAACTTACTTTGTCTAATTTATTTGAGTTGATGAATTATGTAGTATCTGTTGTCTGCTATACTAAATGGAAGGTTGGACAAAATATTTTAAAATAATTCATTGTACTTTTTCATCTAGGGATGTTATCACAATATCCTCATCTAACAATTGTTCTTTTCCAGTATTCTTCAGCACAGACTAATCTTCTGTCAGTGTAGATATCACTATAATTGTATGAAAATGGCAGTGGGCACAATATCAGTATTTTCAGAAAAAAAATGATGCTTTGCAATGTCCTTTCTTCTTCCTTTGCATGAAGACATTAAGTATAGTAGGACAGCAGAACTCAGTGGCAATTAGTGGTGTTTGAAATGCTGCTGGTTTTTCTTTCTTTAGCTTTTTGCTTCAACCTTCTGTTTTCAGAAAAAGAGGGGCAAAAAAAAGAAACACAGACAAACAAAGAAAAAAAGCCCACTTCTTTCCATTTTTCTGTTCTCCTTCAATTGTTTTACTATAAGTAAGGATACTTACTATAAGTATCTTACTTATAAGTAAGTATCTTACTTACTTACTATAAGTAAGGCCCTCTTCTGAATCCACTTGAACAGCCTTTCTTGTGCTGGGAGCCCCAGAGCTGGATGCAGTACTCCAGATGGAGTCTCATGAGAGTGGAGTAAAGGAGGAGAATCACCTTCCTCGACCTGCTGGCCATCATTCTTTTTATGCAGCTCAGGGCATGATTATTACTGGAATTCCTCCAGTTCTCTAAGGAGAAAGGAGCAGCAGAGGCAAACTGCTGTGTAGTGACCGTAACTCCCCATCCTCTGTCCTCTCTGCTCCTCTTCTAGGGCAGGTAGGGAGCCTGAATTGAAGGAATGAAGTTAAGCCTGAGAAAGAGGGGAGGAAAGGTGTTGGTTTAATGTTTGTCTTTTTATCCCTATCCAAATCTTTTAATTGGCACTGAATTAAAAGAATTGTCCCAAAATTGAGTCTGTTTTGCCCACAGTGGTAATTGATAAGTAATTCCCCTGTCTTACTCTCAATCCGTGAGCTTTGTCAACCTTCCTGACAGTGAGTGAGCAGCTGGGTGGCCATTTGGCTGTTAGCCAAGGCTAACCCACCACAATATTCCAAGCCATTAAGTTTAATCATACTTTTATTTTATCATACCATTGTATTAGACTAAATCATTTCACTTCTCAAGAGACCACGTTTATTTGTGCTGTAAGAAGAGTAGAAAGAGTTGCTAGCTCTTGAAAGCCGTGCAAGAGACAGTTGAAGAATGTCTTCTCATATGTCTTACAAACCACTTCATGTGCCATGAAAGATTGAAGGAAAGAGTTTGATTTAGATGCACATTTCTTCCTAACTCTCGATTAACCCTGTTAATCTCTTAACCTCATGATGGCTTGATTTTACTCCTATGAAAAAGAGCAGTCTCTGTCCAACAGTGGAATGTTATTTTACTTTTGCCAGTGTCCTGTCTGCTGGGATGGTCAAATCAAGATAGTTTAGAAAAACTTGAAACAAATAAACAGATCCTTCTCATGATTGGCTGGTCAATTGGAAAAACAAAACAAAACAACAACAAACAACACTAAACCTTCCCAAAAAAACCGCACATCTGATCAAAGTAAACCACTGTCGAATCTCAGACGTGTGAAGCTGAAACATAATCGTTGTCTTAATGTATAGCTACAGATGCCAAAAAGATATGGAGGCCGATACAGAATGTCTGTTCTTTTATTGATTCAAAAAAGGAATGGACAGGAAGATCATAATTTACTAGTTACTTATTTTTACAATTGAAAGAGGAAATACCAGAAGACAGGAAGAGAATGGAAAAATGTGCCTAAAGGCAAAACAGAGGCACGAGTCTGTCTGAAAGTCCTGAATTAACTTCCCAGTGACCAGATACAGTCTCCAGTGACTGTATTGGGTGGAATGGAACAAGCAGTGCAAACTATCTGAATCAGCAATTGAAGAAACAAAAGAAAACAAATACAAGTGACCATATTAACAAAGACAAATAAGTTATTAACTCAAGAATTTATCCATTGAACATTTTCTTAGTGAAACTTGCTGTAGCTTTTTTAAAAGATGAGCTATTGACCTACTTTTTTTTTTCTTTTCTTTCCCCAGTTAGTTACCTATCCATGGAAATATTGATTTGTTTTAACCTTTTCTTCACAGCTGTATCTTGTGGAAACCCTGGCACCCCGGCCTATGGTATGATAGTATACACTGATGGAATATTATTCTCCAGCTCAGTCATTTATGCCTGCTGGGAAGGTTACAAAACTTCAGGGCTAACTACTAGGCATTGTACTGCTAATGGGACGTGGACTGGCACTGCTCCAGATTGCACAGGTCAGAAATAAACTTTCTTCCTCTAAACCTTTACAGTAGTAAGTCGTCTGGCATTCCTATGAAAATTATTATTTTGTTAGATAGAATAACATCTTTTTTTCCTATTCACGAGTCTTGCATTTTATGCGTCTAAAGGCATACGCCCTTTTAATATATGCTAGATGTTTCCAGAACTATATTTTTAAGATGAAAACATAGATAACCTTTCTGTCTGTGTTTATTTTATGAATGCCAACATTGAAAATATAACTATTCCTAAGAATAGGTGTTCCTCTAGAGTTTCCTTTACCTTTTTTTTTTTTTTTTTTTTTTTTGGCTTATGTACAGAGGATGAAGTTCTGGTTGTTCTAGATCAGATTTTACCTAATTTGATACTTTACTGTGCCAGTTTGTATTGCGAGCCAAATGATCCAAATCTGACTGATAACCCGTGTGCTAAGGACCAAGAATCAGGGAGCTGTGAGATTGGGCTACTCCATCAGGGAAAGCAAGTGGGGAGCAGAGGGGTACGGCAAGGCTAGCAGGGCCAGTGGCCTCACTCACAAGGCCAGACTCACAGTACATCAGTAGTACAGTGATACAAAAAGAGGAATTTCGTAACTCTGCTGAAATTGCATTATGCCATCAACATTAGGTATAATGTGACAAAGGTCCCAGTGTGAAGGAAGGAAGGAAGGAAAAGTCCTGACAAAACTACCGCTAACAAAACAGTCTGCAGTAGCAGTAGAGTGTACCGGCTTAAGCTACTGTATTTAAGGAACACGATATTTGTCCCACACTATTGCAATGCCTCAAAAATATGAATTTTTAGCTAAAAATTAATGACATTTTTGATTTTGTGTGAAATGTGTTGCTCAAAATTTTTCTTATTTTGTACACTAAAAAAAAAGGACATTAGCTATACATAGTTCAATGTTTCATTCCATGTTTACTGAAAAAAAATCCCTTGTTTTCTTTTCCTCGCTAGTGATCAGCTGTGGAGATCCAGGTGCATTAGCAAATGGCGTACAGTTTGGAAATGATTTTACCTTTAATAAGACAGTCAGGTATCAGTGCAATCCAGGATACTTGATGGAGCCTGCCAGTTCACCTACCATGCGTTGTATAAAAGACAGCACTTGGAACCAGAGTAAACCAGTTTGCAAAGGTACGCTTTTGAACTTAAATAGTTTACAAATACCGTTTTGATGTGATATGTGAGATTCACTGATCAGTGTTTTTATTTATCAAAAAACTGGCAAAACTTCCTCTGGGACAAGTAACACACAAATGCAACTAAAAGATTTAGATAAATATTTGCGTAAAATTTGTATTTATTGTGCACATATGCTGAGGCATAATATCAGTCAGAATAGTGACATTAATGTCTACAATAGAACCAAATCACTCTGCAATGAAGGTTATCGGACTGCTCAGTTGAAAATGCTGGGAATGAAGTACCCATTTTCCTTTTTGGGCCCTTTTATCTCAGATTAGGTGGCCAAAATTCTATAAAGGGATCTTGCAAACGAAACTTTTTAATAGAAAATTCCCTTGTTGCAGTACTGTAGCCATCATATGCAGCCAAAAAGATGCTTCACAAATAGCTAGTTACAAGTGCCAACATAAAGGTCATAGCGCGGATGAGGCTGAGAGGCAAATAAAGGCAGCCTGGTGAAAATTGTTAGCACCACGACAGCAGCTCAGGGAGTAAATTTATCATCCTAGGGCATCTTCTGCTTATAAAAGGCCTAGACTGCCAACTCATCTAGCACCACTTTAAAGTGATGTCTAAGTCTAGCCTCCTAATTGCATTTTGGCATATGTATTCGACTGACTGCATTTTCTGTATAAAAATCACTGGCTGATTGATTTTACGGTTGTGCTCTTTGTTGAAAGAACTGATGTGTAAATGCAAACTTGGTCATTTCATCATTTTGGGCACTCTTTCAAAAGCTGGAAAGCATCAGAATATTTTTGAAAACTCTTAGCCACTAATTACCAGTAAAGTCAATGTCCATTGTGTGCTGAAAGCCTTAGAAAATGAGCAGGTGAATGAGCAAAGTCATATTAAGAGCTTTAAATAGTGCTGCAAAATTAGTTTAAAATAAAATTCAAATATATAGAATCATAGAAATATATTTCTTGAATAAATCATATTTATTGAAAACTTTTACCTAGCTCAGTAGCCTGTTGCCAACAATGATCTGTAATGAACATGCAGGGAAGAGATTCAGAACTAGGTAAGCTATATACTCTTCTGGCTTCTAGCGACCTAGAGCTCAGGGACTTCCTAAACCTGAAGGTGATATTTTTGTATTTAAATTGGTTTTCTGCCAATTACAGGCTGCATTGTCAACAAAGGAATGCTTTGTTGAAATTGAACAGCATGAAATGTTTTTGTTTATTTTTAGTTTCAAAAGTAGGAACAGATATTATGTTGAATTCTCCTAAACCCTGTAAAGTCTTGAAATTATAACTTTTCTTTTTGTGACACAGCTATTACCTGTGGCCCCCCTCCACCAGTACTCTATGGGAAAGTGGAAGGATCTGATTATCGCTGGGGTGCCAGTGTGAGTTACAGCTGTGCAGAAGGCTATCAGCTATCTAACACAGCTATTCTCTCCTGTGAGGGTCGAGGAATTTGGAGGGGAGACATTCCACAATGTTTGCGTAAGTTTTCAGAGTACAGTTGTGTTGGGTTTCACCAAAGCTACAATCAGTTGTCTCAAGCTACGTTCAGTTGTCTTGGGCTGTAGTTTGTTTCTCACAGTTTAAAAAGGACTCAGCTAGATCAGGTAATATATGGACTACTGCAGGATTCTCCCTCCTTCTTCCAAAAAGCATATCTTGTTATGAAATTGAGTGGCTGTGTCCATTTAAGGTCATGTTCTTCGTTTCCACAAAATTCACCTCCATCTTTTATTACCTAATTGGATCCATCATCATTTGCCTTACTGATAATCTTTTTGCATGTTCTGATTTTGACTTGTGATGAGCATGATTAAAATTTTCCCTTACACTTTTCTTTTTTTCTTCCCCTTTTTCATTTCCATTAACAGGTGAAAACAAGGATCCTAACCCTTAAGCTCATAGCCTTGCTCTCCTTTCTAAATTATTTTCTCTTTCCTGAAGGCGAGTACATACCCTCATATCTTGTTTCTATTTGTTTTTCAGCTTCTTCTAAATCTGTCAATTCATCTCTTTCGGTGCTTGAAGTCTTGTCAGGACTTTGACAAACATTTTTCCTTTTACTTAATTAGGGCGAAAATTTCCAGCCTACTCATCTGAGAGTGACTGATCTGAAAACTGGATACATTTTGAAGCATTACAATATAGCATTGTCTACTTTGAGATTACTTTGTCATCCAAATCTAATCAGCATTTAAGTGTCTCGATTAAAAGGTCTATTTTTCCAGGTTAAGTTTTATGCTTATAATAACTACAACAGTGACAGTTAATTTTAAATTGCTGTCAAGAGTTTATCTGAGCTACAATCCTACACAGATAAATGAATATAGCATTTGCACTCATATTCAGCATGCCTGACTTGCACACAAAACGGTGTAGAATATTTCAGTTGAAGCATGTGAAGTTTAAATAACTGGGTTTTTTTTTCCTTTTTTATGTATTAGCTGTGTTTTGTGGTGATCCTGGTACTCCAGCAGAAGGACGCCTCAATGGAAAAAGTTTCACCTACAGATCTGAAGTTAGCTTTCAGTGCCGACCCCCTTTTATTCTGATAGGCTCTTCAAGAAGATTCTGTCAAGCCGATGGTACTTGGAGTGGAATTCAGCCAACATGCATTGGTAATAACTACCACTACTTATGCTGTTTCTAATGTGAATATTCTTGATCAACTATTACACTATCATAAATCTAGTAGTTAGCTTTCCAAATATAGAAAACATCTATGCAATATAAAAAGAACTAGATAAAGTTAGTTATATTTTGGGTATAAAAATTTTAGGATAAACACAATCACATATGAAGTCATTTGTAAATTTACATGATTGCTTGTCTACTGGAAATGCAGAATGTCAATAAGTGCAAGCATATAAATTTATTCCATCTATTTTTAAAAACTTTTAGAGACAGAGAAGACTTTGGTAGATTAAAGACCAGATTCTGGCATTTGTCAAAATCAATCCTAAATCAAAAAACGTTTCGGACTTTGTGAAAGTGACTTGTACAGCTCAAAACGATGAACCATGCTGGGTCTGATCTTTTGAAGTTCTGATAAACTGCCAAGTACTGTCAGTTTCTCATTGACTGATGTGCAGCTGATAGGCTTTTAGCATGTTACATAATCAGACTTACTGAGAGAAATGCAGGACAACTGTAACTCCCACTGATACCAGAATTTGATCCAACTTGGGGTGACTTGCAAGAGAAAATTATTTTGGTGTTATAATAGAAAAAATCCTGTGATATTTCTAAACAAACACATTCATATATGGACTGTAGCCCATTTATATATTTTGCTGTGGCTGAGACACTGTCTATGTGGAAGAACTGAGGTGGGCACTTTGGGAAAAGGTGTTAAGCACGATTATTGAAAGCTGCCTGTATTTGTAAATTAAGACATTAACATTCAATACAGTTTTTTGATATGAATTCAAAACTCCTCCTGCTCATAGTTTTTATGGAGTGGGCAATCCATTTTACGTTTTGCCTCTATAACAGGCAAAAAGGTTTGCAAAAGCTAAATCTGAGTTCTATTGTGAAGAATCAAATTTAAAAATGGCATAATGACATTTCTGTTTATATGTATTTCATATAGTATAATATAGAAGTACATGCATTTCTATTTATGTGTATTTCATATAGTATAATATAGAAGTACATGGAAAATACTACATCAAAGGCATAAGCTTCGTTTTGCATCATAGTTTTTATGTTATTGTAAAAGGAAAACATTAGACCATGTAAAATATTTACAGATACTATTGTTGAGCAATTTGATAATTAAAATGGGTCAACAACGCCTAGCACTTCGCCTAGAAGTACCATGTGATGGCAAATGATGGCAAGCTTTTCTATTTCTGGATATTGATAATTTACTTGAAGTACTTTGAGAATTATTCTTTTTTCCCCACTGTTTCTTCATATGAGACATATCTCAAAGAGTCAGTTCAACTTCGTGTATCTATTATTAGCAATGGCATTCGAGTTGACGATAATTTGTAAAAAGTTCTTGATCTGTTCAAGCAGCTCAAGGTCAGGAGCGTGTTTGGGTTTTATTCTCACATCAGGTTGACATCCACCAAACTTTTGAAGCCTTTGGTAAATATCAGTCCAGTTGAATTGTTATGATCTACTGATGGTCAACATTGTAGAGAAAATGAAAAATGGTTACAAATTAAATATAGTCCCAAATTGCGTTCTTTGCAATGCAGTGTCAGCACAAAAGCAGATTTGGTTGCCAAGAGGGAATCAATAGTACAGAAAGATCCACCTGATCAAGTCCTGTGCTGTCTACCTGGTGGATGAGACTGGGCAATGCCAAAGCAAATACACTGTCAGAGTATGAAATGGACGTTGCTGAATCAAAAATGCTTTCAGGCTGCTTTAAATTGCACTCATTAAACTGATTATCATGTAATTATTTATGCTCTGTTGGAATACCTGTTTTTTTGTGCAGGGACTGTCTTTTAATTTTCCAGCAAAACTGAGCTAGTAGTCCATTTGAGAATTTTGTTTTCTTGGTTACATAGAAAATAAGCTATCAAAAAATAAGCATTTTACTTGCTATAAGAAAGCAATTTGGGTTTCGGTTCGGTTTGGGGTTTTTATTGGAGGGGTTGGGTTTCTTTTGCAAGCCTATCTTAATCATTAAGCTGTTCATTGGGAAAGAAGAGAAGAAAAGATTTCCCTATATGTGAATAATGGGATATATTCTGCATTCAAAAAGGCTTAAAAGGATAAGCCTAGCAAAAATTAAGGCAATCCTAACTCTAAAGTCAACATTGCCAAAGATACCTGCAAAAAATACCTTTAAAGAATGGTGATGTACTGAAACAAAGTACTGTGATGTATCTTGGAAATTTAATTGGAAAAAATATTATTTATTACATGTAATATGTAGAAACACACACATTGCATTAAAAATTAAATTATTGTCATCAGTAGACATTGAAGAAATGACAATCTTTGCAAACAGTTTTAGAGTATTCTAAATAATAATATTTGTTGCTTTACTTTTTACGTTAGATCCAGCTCACAATACATGTACAGACCCTGGTACTCCACATTTTGGAATACAAAACAGTTCCAGAGGTTATGAGGTAATTATTTGTTTTATTTATTAGGTTTCTAAAATGAAGATGCATTTAATAATGGCAAATATATTAAATTATCTGCATACTTAAATGTCTGATATAAACCATACCTTTTTAATAAAAACTCATGCTTCATTCCAAGCTTTTTATTTTTTTTAACATACAGCTTACAGAAAGAACTTCTAACCTTACAATATATCATGTGTTCAGTCCTTTAGGAGACTTTAGTAGGGAGGACTATTTATAAATTAATTATCAAATATGACATGACATGATATAATCACTTTGCTTTATAATCATAATTCTTTCATACATTGCTGAAAGATTATTTTTATTACTATGCTATTTATTACATTATTACTTACTGGTACCAGAATTGGCGATTTCACAAGAAGTAAGATGACTTAGAGTCAAGACCAGCCACAATCTTTCCTAGTCTCTATTACAGACAAGCTGTGTGTCCTTGGCAAGATAGAGAGATAAATATGTTTAAAAATAAAGAGATAAGTCTACAAAGCCATAGCAATAATTAGACCTTTAAAAATATCAGTAAATTTCCCAAGCCACTTCAGGAAGAACTGTTGCATTTGCTGAACAGCTATCATGATAATCTGTTTTTATGTAACTGAGTATATAGTTAACAGGTGGCCACTTTCAAAGATAACTGCCTATTTTTAATGTCCATTGAAGTCCTTTTATGACATTTGCAGTGTAGAGCTATCTGCATTTAAGTACCTGCAAGTTATGTAATTAACATGCATTAATCATTACTCATTTACAACTTACTGTTGCTTGCATTTGTCCCTGTGATATGTTACTTTATTAATGTTGTATAATTTCAAATATTTTTTTTTCATTTAATCCGATCATATTTATTGCCAGTATGTTTTATCCAACATGAAAGCAATGTGTTACTGGTCAACCGTGCAGCCTTAAATATCTTGGCCTAGAATTGTATTCTGGTTACTTTTTTCAATACTATCAATAAATCCTAGAAATACTAGAAATTTCCACACAATCTCTCTCTCCTATGTTATGAAAATTCTTCATCACATATAATTTTGTATCCAGTTTTCATGCTTTTCTATTCTTAGTGGAAGTCTAAAGAGAGTTAGTCCACTGAGTAACTTAGTCCACTAAGTAACTCAGTTACTTCACCTTTTCTTCTCAGAAAGGTCGTATCACAGTTGACCATAGGAAAGCTTTTCATACCGTGACTCTGCTAGTTGAATATCTCAAGTAAAACTTCGGTTGCTTATAGAAACAAATGCAGTGTAAGGAATTGTGGCCTGGAGTTGTCTCTAGTGAATTTATTTGTAGGTGGAACAGTTCTTCATAGTTTTTTCTTCTTCCTTTTTCCTCTTAAAAAAACATTTTTAGTCAAGTCACACAATGAGAAACCTTTGAAACAGACTTTATGGTCAAGTTCTATTGAAATACATGCAGTCATGTGCAGGAAAGAGCCACATCCCAGTCATTTAATTTGCTTCTGTCACACTGGCTAACTAATAAGCTGAAATGTATGAGTGCTGTTCTTTTCCACGTGCACAGCCTTGTCAATATTTTTCCACTTATTGCTTTCAAATAAGGATACAAAAGATTAATTTCTCAAACTTTTCATCACATTAAAAAAAGAAGTTTAGAAACTGTAAAAAGAGGATATTTTTATTTTTGAAAAAATCTCTTTGGTCACTTATAACTCTTTTGATATCTGACTACATATGATGGATACCTCTTTTATCTAATATTCTGGTTTGATCCTTAGGTTGGGAGCACAGTCTTTTTCAGATGCAGAAAAGGTTATCATATTCAAGGATCTACCACCCGTTCTTGTCTTGCTAACTTAACTTGGAGTGGTATACAGTCTGAATGCATACGTAAGTCTGGTTTCTTATCTATGATTTAGAATATTGTGAAATTTTAGAAGAGTTTCAAATTGAGGCATGTGGAAATTCATAGTAAATGATATGCTACAAAAAAGTAAGCTTTATTTAAAACAATATTTTAAAATGTTTTTTGTTCCCTATTCTAAGACCTAAGATGTATTTGGGATATTAATTTGAAGTAAGATTTTTCAGATTTTTTTTTCATGAAGTTCACAATAGTATCTAGCTGTTTACTTTAAAAACTCTGTCCTCAGTAACCCACTGCATTAGCTGCTTTAAATTAATCTAGAGGATTTTGTGTGTGTTGGACTAATAGAGAACAGAAAGTGGTCTGAAATATGCTGTTTTGTTGGCTAGGATTTTTTGAATCATAATCTAGAACTCAGCAAAATTCAGCTTTTCTGGGTCATGCATGGGTATGCAAATGGTTAGTGTATTTATAGCTCTGTGTGGGTTGGAGGACATCAAAGAACTATTGTATTAAAATACACTGATCTAAGCGAAAAGTAAATAATTAGAATGACCTTAGATTCTTATCCTATTTCAAATTGTCTTTGGGTTGTTATAAATGAACACCATGGAGCACGGAGAAAGAAGCATACTGAGCAACCATATCTGTTACAATCAGTGTACTATGACAAAGCCTTTCTATGGAACCTTTATTTCCATTGAAATTTATAAGGAATTTATTTAGCACAATAACTGCTCTGTAATTTTCAAGGCTCTTTAAAACATTGAGTGGAAGCGATGCGTGAAGCTGCGACAGTACAATAATTCACAGGACCAATCATTGCACCATATACAATGGCATGTGCTTCCCTTCATTTTAACTCTTTTCTGTTTGCGATCATGATTTATTTTTTATGTATTGTTTAAAAATATGTAATAGTATCATTCCCATCTTCCCACAATAATAAAACTATACGCCCAGAGTGTTGCTTTTACAAGTAATAGCTACTTGACATTTCTAAAAGGTATACAAAGTTTACATGATGAAAGGAAATAAGCAGGCATGCATTTATTTCAAATTACATACTCTAAGCCTATGGAAACTGTTTACCACCACCTTTTCTAACTCTAAAAAACCCTTTGCAGCTCATGCTTGCAGGCAGCCAGAGACACCGGCACATGTAGATGTGAAAGCAATAGATCTTCCTACTTTAGGGTACACTTTGGTGTATACCTGTCAGCCAGGATTTTTTCTTGCTGGTGGATCAGAGCATCGGACATGTAAACCAGATATGAAATGGACAGGAAAATCACCTATTTGTAAAAGTAAGTCATTACTCAAGCGATATGGTGGGCCCTACTTGGTTGGATTTCATTTTCCCTGACATTTTTACTTTATATAGTAGGATTGATTTTTTACATTTAATATTTAAAGACGCATATGACACAACAACTTTTACTTTATGAAAAAAACAGTAAAAAAAATCAAAGTGAGCATAGCATCTAGAACTCACGGAGGAAAACATGGGGATATTTGTGCATAAATGCACAGGCACACATACATAAATTTACCCCTAACAACAACAAACAAAGCCTAAACAATATAAAGTATTACTTTTAACTGTATTTATCTTTATGTCACTGTATTTAAATAATATTTCAATGTATTCAGTGTTTAATGTATGATTTTTCAATAGGAAACAAAGTTATTTTATAGCAGGTATGCTTTTTGTATAAGAATTTTTTTTAAAATAAAAATGAACAATAAAATAAAAAAATAAATACATCTTTGCACCATTATTTATACCCATGTAAATTTCATATACTAAAGTTGCTAAAGTAACTCTAAGTATATAGCTATGAGGGCTAAATTTGCTCTTCACATGCAAATAAACATGGCTATAAGTTCCCAATTCAGAAAAATAAAACAAAATTATATTTAGAATACTAATAAAGCAAAAATTGTCAGATGCCATGGGAAAGATGTTTGCAACATGATTTTTAATTTTAATATGTCAAAGAATGCTAGATAGATTTCATGTTTGAACCATATTTGACTTTTCATTAGTGTATGGCTAGACTTACTTGTTTCAACGTTGTCAACACATATGATCTACTCATAAAAATTTATCGTCTTATTCTAGTTCCCTAAAAGATGATTTTTCATGAATACTACATAATTGATAATTTGAGATAAATGATATTGTATGGGTTTTGTTACTTTTCTTTTTTCTTTAAGTTAAAATATGTAAAAAGTTTCTATAAGCACAATTTATTTTTTTTTAATTGGCTTACAGTCTTTAAGTATAATTGTCCTTGAGTGCCCCACACTTTTTCAGCTTTCTTAGCATTTGATCAGCCTAATCAGTAAATTTCTACTCCTAAAGAAAAAAAAAAAACATGCAACACCAAATCTTGCTATAAGACATTAGATTTTTTTAATGTGGCTAATGATATGAGGCCAGAACTTCATCTGGGGTCGATGGACATAACTCTGCTGAGTGTACCAGAAATATAGCAAATGACACTGGTTGTGATCCTTTCTCATGATATCTGATCCTGTCTTCTTAATCCAGCTATCTGGCTTTTCCTGGTTTGTGTCATAGATGTATCAATCTTTATTAACTCAATTTTTACTATATTTAATATACTATTATTCATATTCATAGTTAGATATAGTATTTGTCCCCTCTATAAGGCTCTCTTTTATAGCACTGGGACTGATATAAAAATTTTAGGCCTAAATGTATGAAATATTTAGCTAGCCAGACAACTTTCCCAAATAAAAATGTTCTTTACCTAAATTATTTTCTGATAGTTTTGTGTAAGTGTAAGGTTTGAACATGTAAAGTTGCATCCATCAGACAATGTTTTAACATTCTATTTTTTTTTAAAAAAACCAACAAATATGTTCATGAAAATGATAATTTGTCTTTTTACTTGTAGGTAAAGGAGTGAGAGAAGTTAATGAAACAATAACTAAAACTCCAGGTTTGTATACAAGAAGAGTATTAGATCTAAATAAATTAAATTGGTTTACACCCTAGATTGTTATGGATAATAAAACTATTTCCAATATTTAACTTAAGTATTTATACTCATTTCAAAGGAATATAAATATTGAGGTCTTTCATGATGACAGGTGTCATGTATAACCTATTGTACGAAATTCCTTCCCAAACAACATTTTTTTTAAATTTCTACAGTATCAATTTTGTGAATTGCACAAAAACCCCTGTCAAGCCAAAAAGATAAAGCATATATACACAAAACCCAGATTTGATGTAGTTTTATATCAGAGAAATTGCTATAATGGAGAGCCTTATAATGCCTGTAGACTATAATTGCAGGAATTGGGTTCAGTCAAAGTTACATTGCGAGTGTTGTAAGAAACCACAAAAAAAAAAACCCAAATCACAGTTTTGGAAATTTTGATGGCCTTCATTTCATGGAAACTCTCAAGGTACTTTAAGATAGAGTTTCCTAAACTGTGTGGATCACCAGCAGCAGGCAAACATTACTGCCGTTTTAATATGCCTCCTAATGAATATGTGTGCAGTTAACCTTTTCCTCCTGCCAGTGACAAAACAGACAAATACATTTGAGAAATCCTTCATGTAGATCTTTTCAGGGTCAATCATTTTTAGAAAATGAAGGGCCTAATTTAATTTTTTTTTTACTGACTATTTAACAATGAACAGAGTTTTCACAAAATAAATGAGCTTGCAACTCTGTATTCTGAATTTTAGCAAGCTGCAGGGAAAATAAGATTAATGGTTCACACTCATGGCAGTTCACAGAGGGACTCTGTAGAGAAGAAGGGATAAAAAGGTATTTCTGCTAATAATTAACCTTCCTGGTGAGTTTATTAGTGAGAGTGTCAGGTGAAACCATAAACGAGTTCTTCCCTATTGTATTACTTCTACAGAATCAAAATAAAGCAGGATATAATGTGCATTCATTATAATTAATATACAGTCTTCATTTATTGGAGGATTCACCTCACCAAACACCTAAGGTGCGCATTAATTTGCTACCACACAGGTTTTGAAGATTCAATGCCAAATTAAAATATAGACCAAGCCTTCAAATATATTCGCTATGCAAAGCATCAATATCAATTCACGCCACATCGTGTCCCTTATAATTAATTTAGATAAGTAAGTACTATTTGAAGGCATTTTAAAAAAATAAAAAAATGTTATGATTGAAAATGCCAATAATGGTAAGCAGAGAACAGAAACTGTGTAACGAATGACAGTAATTAACAAGGAAAAGCTGTTTTTAAAAAACAAGTCTGCACTATTATTATGTCTTTTAAAATTGTGAAATCTCTTTAGTATAGAACGCTGTGTATTCTTGAGCATTTTCTTTACCTTGTTGTCTTGGCTTTTGGTAGAATTCCATTTGCTGCTATCTGTTTTTTAGATGGGATGAAGCTAATATTCCTAAACTAGAGTTTTTGTAACTGAATAGATTCATATTCTGATTTCCCATCTTTGGATAGCTGAATATAAATGATGCTTATTATTGTTTACTAAATTGCTATTTTTTTTGGCCAGAGTTAATGTTTTCATATAGTAACTATAATTTTTACAGTACTGTAAATTGTAATAGAGTATAAGTTGCAGCTAAAGAATTCTCACAATACTCACGTGAAGTTTAAGAACTACAATACAGTGTTTGGTTCCCATGGTTCTCACTGCTTTGTATATAGTTTTTGTGAAAATAGTTAGGAAGCTGTTTTAATGAGTAGCCATGGATTTCTCCAGTTGTCACACTCTGAAGAGAATCCACAGTTGGTGCAATATTAGTATAAAAATACCCAGTTCATTTTTCTCATTCTGCATTTGCCCACAGTGGGTTGGAAAGGCAGGGGCATTGTAAGGACTTTGCAGAATTGGGTCAGAGCCACTCAGATTCCTCAGCAGCATCCATAGGACTGTACTTGCACTTTAAACTTTTACAAAAACATGATTGAGGAAGCAGAAATATATGTTGGTGTTTTCTTCCTCTGCTGATTCTATCCATCTGCAGCACGTGCAAATTGTGTAAATACTGTCAATGGTACAATTTTGCAAAGATTAACAGCTATTATTCACAGTTAGAGTGGTTAGAGAAGCTAGATACTGAAGACAAAAGAATTATGGTGTGTGCTCTGTTAGAAAAGTCTTAAATAGTACCTTTTAGGTACATACCAGTAGTACTACTGATTGCTTTCAGGAGAATAAATACAGATACACAATTTTAATTAAAAGCAAAGGCAAATAAAAATAATTTGAAAATATTTTTAAAGGCCAGTTTTCAAATTTACTGTATTTCACTATTGTAGCAAAGCAGTGAGAGTTATGTAGGAAAAAGAGTCTGAAAGACCCTTTGCAGAATTCATATATTTGCAGAAAATATATGAATTCTAAGGACCGTGAGATACCAATTGAAATGTAATGCTTCAGATTTTTAGTATTAAATTAAAATTAACTTGTGTAAAGCCCCAGTCCTGCACTGAGTTTTGCTTTGGAAAGGGAGCACTTCAGATTCTCTAAAGCTGTTGTACTCAAAGCCATCTAGTGGGTCTCCACTCACACGGGACCCAGTGGTAGTATAGACAACATACTAATGATGTTTTCAAATCATGCCACATTGAGCTTGAACATTTACTTGTGGCTTTTGCACAATTTGAAGGCAAAAGACACGGAGGAAGTTATTCTTTCTCTTCACGAATTGTGTGCTAGGAAGTGTAGTAATATGATTAAGAGACAGTCAACAGCTAATCAGTCATCAAATTTTGAGATGTACTGCCTGTCAGTATTTTTTGTTGGGAATATAGGTTATAATTGATGTGGGTTTCTTTTTAATTCATTTTTGCAATCAGTGATTAAGTAGAGGAGGAAATATGCATGGAATTCATTCAAAATGGATACACAGGATTATCTACACTCATAAATTTCCTTCAATATAGACAGCTGCCTTTACAAGTGCTCAGAGTTTAATGAAATGCAAAAAATCAAATAATTTATTTGAAGAGTTCAGTTAGAAGAGTGTGAAACACTCTTCTAATACCAGTCTTTAGCTCTTTAACACGTATCATTTGTAGTGGTCATGGATAGTACGGGTGAATTTTAGCAGTTGCTGGTTGCTGTCATTTTGTCAAGATACCGTGTGATTGGTTAAACAATTCTTTTTATGAAGTTTATTTTGATTCTTAAAGCTTTACCTCTGAAATTGTAATGCTAGACGAAGCTTAGAACTAAGTGGAAAAATACCTATTTTCACTTGTCAGAAGCTGCCAGGCGACACTGAGTGCTGCCTGGCCAAGAAGACGGTTGATCTCTTTTGGCCACCTTAACTGTTTGTTTAACTTAACTGTTATTTTTGAAGGAAGTCTTTTACAGATTTTATAACATCAAAGTATATGGGAGAAATATAGCAATTACAGAGGAGAAATGAATGTTCAAGACATGTAGCATCCTGTAAATATATCTGATATAAAATGAACATCTCCTAAGAATTTTTTTCTCTTCTGTGTTTCCTTTTAAAATAATGTCAATATTGCAGTTATTGCTGAATAAGAGAGACTTTTTCTACTCTGTTGGCAATTTAGCCAAATATTTAAAATACAACATTTAATGGCCTGTAAATAATTTTTTTCTGAATAGAGGAAAAATACCAATAACTCCAAATAAATGACCCAAATGCACATATTCTTCCTATAATTCATGCTTCATTTAATAGTTTTTTTACTTCAGGTTATTCAAACTGCAGTTTCTAAGAAACAGACACTTATTTTAAACCAAAAGAGCTCCCTGCTCTACCAACTTCACTGTTCACAGGTGCAGTAATATTATATAAAGAAAAGATGTGTAGTCTAAAAATAACTAATAAAAAACTTGTGCTAAACCAAATCTGGAAATCAGTTAATTCAATTGAGTATTCAGATGATATTCAGTTGAAAATCACACTCAGTGTTGCTTTAATAGATTGGTGAAAAAAAGGGATGGCCTAAGACAGTGTATCCTTCTAGGAATCTCTGACTTTAGAACATTATTCTCCTGTTTTTTCAACATACTTTAAAGCTACAAGGCTTTAGGGGAAGAGTCCATTATTTTTCATAGTCTTGGAGACATTCACTGAATCATCATAGAATCAGAGAATCATAGAATGGTTAGGGTTGGAAGGGACCTCAAGGATCAATTACTTCCAGCCCCCCTGCCATGGACAGGAAAACCCTCCACTACACCAGGTTGCCCAAAGCACACAAGCTATGAAGCGTGAGGTTATTTAAAAATATATATTGTAATGGACAGATGTAGTGTATTATAGGCAATTGTGTGGTAAGGTCATTAGATATATTGTCTTCACTAACATAAAATTTTTACTATAATACCTCTTTATAACAATGGATTGATGCTGTAACAGAAAAAATGAAGAGCATGGCATGACTATGGCTAGAAAGATTGCTACTTTGTTGTAGTTTACTCCTTTCTTTGTTTTGTTTTGTACCCACTTCTATTTAGTTCCCTCAGATGTGTTCTTTATAAACTCACTGTGGAAAGGGTTTTATGAATATTTAGGAAAAAGACAGCCTGCTACTCTGACTGTTGATTGGTTCAATACTACAAGCAGCAAAGTGAATGCCACATTCATTGAGGCATCCAACATACAACTCAAACTATCAGGTAGGTTCAGAATTTGGTGTCAAAAAAGCCGTTGTTTTGATTTTTTTCAGCTCTTCACTTTTGTTGTATTTTCTACTAGACTCAAAATGAAATAAAAACTTTATGATTTCACTAAAAATCTTTTTCTTATTATTTTACAAAAAGAAAGATCCTAATGTAATAGTCTGCACGGATTTCAGTCAATTTATATGCGGTCACCCATCTATTTTTCCTCTTACATTTCCTAATAAATATTGAGGTAGGGTTTTTACATCTTGGACTGTTGGATAATATTGATGTGTTGAACTCACAGGTAATATTGAAGTTGTAGATGAAGTGTATATAGGCATTTTAACAACTGTACCATTGAAAAGCTCCATTATTCAATGGTGATTAATATCTACTTTAAATCAATGTGGTCTTGATAATGCCATAACATAAAATGGGGACAGATAATTAAATAACTCAGTAAATTCTGCATACCTTTTAATCAACGTTGTGCAATTTTTTGCACAGATCTGACTGTGAAATTCTGATTTAGCCTCTGATCACAGTTATATTTGCAGAGAGCATTATCAGCTATTAGTATCTTTTAAGGTCAAAAGTTTAGAGTCAGTTTCAGTAGTTGGCTGCAAAACAGCAAATTGGCTCTCACTGCACTATTGATGTTTACTATAGCAATATACTGTTGTGATATGAGTAAAATCTAGGTCTTTTCCAGTTCAAGAAATTCCAGGCAAGTAATTCTATATGTATTCAGAATTATTGAAATACCGTATTAAAAGGCAAATATTCTTGCCCATTTGTGTGTAAAATTTAATGGTACAAAACGGTCTTTGCATCCTGTTATCAAATACAATGTGGGCAAAAAATCACTAAAATGAAATCCTTTTATTACAGCACTTTAAATCTTGTTTTTTCCAGGTTATAAAATTTGGTTATTACAGAATATTTTCTACAAATATTTGAGTTCTAAAGCGATATACTTAGCTTTGAAAGGATATTTGAACAAACTCCTTTATGTTAACAGGTGTTTACAAGAAAGAAGAAGCCCATTTGCTCTTGAAAGTTTTCCAGATTAAAGGAGTTAGTGACATTTTTGTAAGCAAGTTTGAAAACGACAACTGGGCACTCGATGGTTATGTAAGTAACCAGACCGCTATGGGTAAAGATTACTGAGCTTAAAGTTTGAAGGAATTTGTGATTTCCTATATAAATCTATGCAACATTTTGTATTACAAATACAGAATACAGGACTCTAGATGTTAGTGTAGAGATGATATTATTTTTCTTTTCAGAAATATGTGTACAAACTTCTACCTACCATACTCCCATTAGAATTTTTAGTTTACTAAGGGGAAGGCAGAATGGATCAGCATATTTTGCCATGTTTTTGCCTTGTTTTCTTAGATAAGAGTGGAAATTTTATCTTTAGAAATATTGTCCTTTTTTTGCCTTTCTAAGTAGTTTAGTGTAACAAAATTAATTTAATATTGAGTAAAAATAGAGTTATTTTACTCTCTGCAGTTCCTCTTTGTGCCTCATGATGTTTTTGTGAAAAAGAATTTTAAATCTGACAGTTCAGTGGACTTCTATATCCGTATACTCATTCAATTATGTGTATACCAGTTGCTACATTTTGTATATTTAGCAATATACATCAGATATTTTAAGGTCATTCCAGGCGTTATTTTGAAACTTTATTTAATACTGTTGCAAACTTAAAATGATAAATATTGTATAAGCATAGAGAGTTCACTAGTATTTTAAAGGATAAAAGTGAAAATCTGGACTCCGTGTATCTAAGTCAGAAAAATGAATGGCTAAACATTCATATTTATTTCAGAAATCTTTCTCTGTTTCAACATATTCTAGGTATCATCAGGGCTTGAAAGAGGTGTTTTTACCTATCAAGGTGATATACATGGAAAAGACTTTGGAAAATTTATGCTCCAAAGACAAGGTAAATGCATTCATAGAACTTTAATATGCATAATCTTTTCAGGTCTTGCAAGAGTGAATTCAGAAAATGACTCAGCTATCTAGCTGAAGTAGGCATGTTTATTTCATGCCATTGCTATTATAAAAAAAATATAGTGGAATATGCATATTTAAAATATACAGTTCAAATCCCAATTTAACTTTGCTTAACATGTTACTATCTCATGTTTTCTAGTATAGCAACATAATAAGATGACTACAGGATGCTCTTAAAGAGAATGCCATTGTAACTGCTTGTTTTTCTGTGAATGTCTCTTTGAAAGTAACAGGGCTGTCACACAATGCAAAGACGTTTTCTGCTCAGATGTATAAATTGCAGTCAGAATCATATAGAAAATTAAAAGGACAGAATCAACACTGATTTTAATAGTGTACTTTGGAGGGCGCTTGTTGTTGATGGATGTTTTCAAGTATATGTATTTATATGGAATTCTATATCACTGTCAAAAATAGATACTTCAGTCAGTCATTTTGCATTACAGCTATGGACTCAAGTGCTCCAGCAGCTGATGAAAAAACTAGTTATTTTACTCATAAAATAATTTTGTCATAAAAACTAATAAACATTTTTACGAGAAAAATATTTCATGAGGAATAGTTTTGGCAAACACCAAGTGTAGACATCTGCATCCTGGAACTACTGCAGAGTGGTCAAAGCATGTTATATATACAGCAAAGTACTGGGCTAGGAGGAGGAGACTGTCTAGCCAATATACCTACACCAGACTGTATCTACATTTCATAAATTGCCTTGGTTCCATTAACTTCATTGGTGCTGTACCCAATGCCCTTAAAAGTTCTGCCAAATCTCCCTTGTATTTCTTTGCTCTATTAACTCCTGTAATAGCAGTTATCCTATGGATTTTCTTGTCTTGGCCAGCTGTCAGATTGTTTTATATGCTTAGTCACAAAGGGTAGAAACCTTACTCTTTAGAGTCTCAGCCTAAGAACTGTCAATTACTGAAGCCGCATATAATTTCAGTCTTCAGAGTAAACTCTTGTTTGGGACAGATTATTTGTCTGCCTGTACTTTTATGTAATCTTCATCACTCTAATATCTAAGCTGCTTTTTGTTTCTGATTTTAACAAGAACACTGTAAAAGTAGAGCATCAAGATTTGTTCAAACATCTGTCTTGTTTAGCAGCCTTTGATATCTTAAAGCAGTGAGAGCAAGGTTTGTTGGTTTTGTTTGAGGGGGTGTGTGTGGTTTTGTGTTGGGTTTTTTTTCCTTAAACCAGGTCAAAAAAAGATGTCCATGGTTTGTCAGCTGCCTAATAAAAGTTTGGATACAGTTTGGTTTAGAGGAGATATGAATAACTCATGGAGGTAAACAAAGAACAAGCAGAATGACAATTCAGCAGTTACAGCATTCTCCGGTGGGTGTATTCTAGGGTAGTGGAAAACATTGTCCGTATCACTACTTACAGTTGCGATACGAGAGCTCAGTTTATATATTCCCAAGGTTAGTAAGGAGCTGAAGTGTCCAAGTTAGGATTCCTAGGCTGAGGGCCTCTCATCTTCAGCTTTGACATCTCAGCAGAGAGCTTGCTACAAATGCAGATACTGTCTTTTAGAAGATTTCTTTATGCGATTGCTAAATAGGCACTGCTTTTCTATAGTTTGCTGGTTCTGTATTGAAGAACCTACAGCTAAAAGGAAACAGCAAATTTCCAGGCAACACAGGTCATAATATTTATCCATCTCCTCTCATATTCAACAATACCTTGCTTTGTTTTTTAAATCTATTCTGTTCATGAATATTCTGCTGAGGTAATGATCTCATATGTCCTCCAGCTGAAGACTTAACATATTTCCATTTCTTCAGGAAGTTAAATTATTTGCTGTCTTTACACTAAGCCAGAAGTATGCATAAACCATGTATGCACTGGTGCATACATAATATAGTATGTAATTCTTCACCTGCAAGCATACTTCAAAGAACAGCATTTATTGAGAAAAATCTTGGTGAAGTGTGAAAACCCAATCTATTTGATGAAGAATTCCCTATCATGTAATACTGCAGAAAACCCAGGCTCATTGGATATGCCTGATCTTGGAACTTACTGGCATGAAAAGAGAAGGAATTTTTATTTCTAAGTACTCTGTATCCTCTTTCAGAAGCAATTCTGTTTGCTTGTAGCATTATAGAATAACCCAAAGGGCAATGAGATCTCCAAAAGAATTAGAATTGTATCTGAGCCTGCTTAAGGGGCCCAAGTTGTGACATCAAATTATTTAACCTGTTTTTGCCAAGTAATCAGTCATTGCTATGGGCTTTTTGTTTGTTTGGGGTTTTTTTTTGTGTTTCAATAACTTGATCTTTAAAGGCTGCAAGTCTGCAGCTTGGTTCAGTTTCTATAATTCCTGAGTGCCTGTGCTTCATCATTATGGTTCTAGAAGATGTTTATTCTAAAATCTTGGCCTTGTTCATTCCAATCTGGACTGTCCTTTACAATTGTATGAAAAAGTGGCCTTATAAGGAGAGAAACTTACATCACCAAAGTATTATTTTCCTATATTTATTTCCTCTAGGGAAATAAAATGACCCACTTTTCTTTCCTTTTTTTCTTCAAAGTACTTTTTTAGCTTGTCTAGGTTGAGATAGATATTGAAAAGAAATATGAAATACAAATAATTAATTTGCCTCTGTGTTATATTAGATCAATGGCTGTGAAATATATGTTCATTTCATGAAATTGATCAACTCTTAAAAGTGTTGAACATCATGACACATGAATTTTAAGTTTCACTCTATAAAGGTGTCATCCTTCCTCTCCAGATCATTTTGCGCAACTTCTGTCATTCATGAAGAAATTCTACGTCTAGACAGGATATTGACTGCTTCAGAGTACAAAATGGTTGTGCATTAGTTAATGCATAAATAGATAGCTAGGACTAATGAGCTATGAGACTATATATTAGTATAGTCCTCACACCCAATGAGGTATCCAAAGAGTCTTTGCTATCCAGCAGCGATCAGCCAGCTAAAAAAGAGCAGCCTCTGTTGCTCCTTGGAAGCTGCTGACTTCCCTTCTGTGTCAGTTTTTTTTCTCTTAAATCCTTGAGCTTCTAACCATTCTTGTCTCAGAAATTACTCTTCTACCTGTAATTCTGCTTTTCTTATCTTGCATGGCTTTCACTGTCACGCTTTCTTCTACTTCAACAGCAATTCTCTTAATAAAATTGAGCCATGCTGTACTGATGCCGGACAATTGAAACCCTGGGCTAGGAGTTACAGAGGAAATGCATTTGAAAGCTCCAAACAATGATAAGGAAATGCTCTTAATGAATATTTTCTTACAAAAAGTATTATTTTCTAGTATCTGTAAAGGACAAAACTCAGTAACCATCTAAAGAGTAAAAGTACACAGCTTGCGCAGTAATGATTTGACTGTGTATTATCACAATTTGAACTTCACCTGACTGCTGCTGTTTTTTGGAGGCTCAAGAAACCCTTGTTATTCTGTGAAATGTTTTAAAAACATTTATAATCTTACTGAATATCCCTAGTGACAAAGTATGGCTTTTTTAATTAAAAGAAAACCAAATTATCTTTTGTACCTTTTTTTTTCTTTCCATTAGCATGCAGATATTTCCACTTTTCTGGTTTTAGCTATGGTAGCAATCAATACCTGAATTAGAGCAGTACAATAGACTTTCCCATTTCTCATCATGATAATGCTGTCAGAAGAAATGCAAAGTTCACATCAGGATATGTTTAATCACAAAGAGCCCTGAAAATGATTATAATAAGTAGACCACACTGTGTTGAAGTTATATTGAGTCTCATACATGAATAAAATTCAAATTATCCGGAGTTGCATCCAAGTTTCTCTTCCGTAATGAAAAGCACACTCATTGCACAGTCCAAACCTGGTCAACACTTCTCCAGTGCCAATTAAAAGTTGTACACTTCAATTAAAAATTTTAAGCTTAGTTACTCTAAATGTAGTACTTCAAAAACTGTAGAGATAGGAAGTATTCAATAACCTCCAATAGGAATTTTGAGTACTAAGTACTAAATGTGGGTCAGTTATCAGACATGAATTATCTAAATGTAAATTTGTGCCGTTTTAAAACTTCAGTTACACAAAAAAAAGTATTTTAATTTTCAAAAAATTCCATCTCAGAATTTCATATCGTTTCTTATGAATTTCAAACTAATGTTTTCGTTTAGCTGAATACTGATTAGATATTTTTTTAATTTTTCTGGTACTTATATATTAAAATGCATCTATCATATATGCTTTGAGATGTGAATTAAGTTTGATCACACATATGTATTTGTTTCGGTACTTAGTTAGAATTTTAAATAAGAGTTAAATATTAATTCCAGATTTTTGCTGATACAAGCTGACAACAGTCAGTGAATTTGATCATTACCATAGTTTATATTAATTACTCCAAATAGGTGGAAAAACAGCTAAGTATTGTGATAGTAAAGGATGAAGATAGTGATAATCGCATGCAGTTTTTTAAAACTTAAATCATTTCCAACCTATAAAATAATTAAAATAGAGCATTTAAATTAACACGTCTTAGAATTTTCTTAACTGTGGTAACTACTTGATTCTGTCTTTAATTTAGATTGCTTGGAGAATGTCCAATATGCAATACACATGCAATACAATACAAATACATAAAATTATGCCAATAGGCCTTCCATATCTTGAGTGTTGAGACAAATATTGGATTACTGAAGTCCAAAGTTATAATCATAGAATCATAGAATCGTTAGGGCTGGAAGGGACCTTCAAAGGTCATCTAGTCCAACCCCCCTGCAAGGAACAGGGATATCTCCAACTAGATCAGGTTGCTCAGGGCCTCATCCAACCTGGCCTTGAACGTCTCCAGGGATGGAGCATCCACCACCTCTCTGGGCAACCTGTTCCAGTGTTCTACAACTCTCATGGTAAAAAATTTTTTCCTAATATCCAACCTGAATCTACCTCCCTCTATTTTAAAACCATTACCCCTTGTCCTATCACAACTGGCCCTCCTGAACAGCCTCTCCCCATCTTTCTTGTAGGCCCCCTTGAGGTACTGGAAGAAATAATAATACACTGGTTCTGATCAAAACCAGTTCAATGTTAATTAAAATACTCCACAGCAGTGTGATAAAACTCATAACATGATACCTACTACCACAATAGTAGGTTTATTAATTTGAAAAGGTTAGCCTTCACCAATTCTGCAGAGAAATATACATGAGTCTCACGTGACAGAAGATTAAGGCAATGAAAAATTGAAATATAATATTATCTCATGTTTAGTTCTCAAGTCTGTCAATTCTGAAATTCCGGGGGGGGGCTGTCTTCATTTTAAAGTTAACTTAATTACTTCCTCGAATGTAACATATTTTGTAAAAGGAATTGCACAATATGTATTATAATATTAGCCATTGAAATGTGAAAGTTTTAAAAATATCTAACAGAACAAAAACTTACCTAATTCCTCTTTCACACTGAGCTTGAACTGCAAGAAATCATGGGAGAATTGTTTACTTCTGTCTCAGTTTTGCAACTTATTTATATATTTTAGTAGACTTCTGAAAGCAGCACAATGGCTGTGCCTCTGCTATATAACTGCTCTGTGCTAGAGTCCTAAAAAGACCAATTGATGCTGTTGCCATCAATGAGGAAGTCATGGTGTTTGAGACCGTGTGTACTGGTGGGCTGGAGCATTTCTGAGTGGTGAAAATCAGTGTCTCCTATTCTTCTCTACTAGCATCAGCAAAAATATCCCAGAATAGCATGCTAAGATCTCTGTTCCAGTCCCATCCTCACTGTACTTTCCCTCTGTCCTGGTCTCTCCTCCTTGGATAATATCTACATAGTGCTCTCTGAAGAGCTGTGAGTTCAAACAGGCAATATGGAGTTGGCTCTCAAAATGCATTTTTATTTCTATAAAAGTTTTCTATATTTTTAACTATAAAATTATTTTTAATCCTTCACGATTTGCATTGTCAAGTTGGCCACCTATTTAAGCAATTTAACAATGCTTCTCTTTATACTGATGGAAAAATGGGTCCTGCAAAATACCTTACAGTCCAGGTCATCTGCTTGTCCACAACAGGAACCCAGCAAGGCCACGCCACAGATGACTGCCTTTGCATTCTCTGCAGCTCAGTTTTATCTCAGTAAAAAAGGGGGTTGTAAAGCAGCCAGAACGTGCACACAGGAGCATCAATTTGGGGGTGCTACTAAGCCAAGCAGAACCATTGTGGTTTATTGCAGTTACCTCAGTTTTCCCTTCCTTCTTCATGTCTGATGTGGTCTCGCATTGCTTGTTGTTTCTCAGCTGAATATTAAGGCTGCAAGCGTAGAATACTTTTGCAGTATTAACTTTCTTTTTGTAGAAGGTAAATGGCTTAATTTTCTTAAATTAGTGACTCATGAGAGGTGTAGTTCATAACTATTTTTCTTTCTGAATACTGTTTTCAAATAATTTTGATATTGATACATTATTAAGTCATATTATCAAGATCTATACTTGACACTGTGTGCTATTTATTTCATGTTTTTAAGTAGAATTATTTTATTAAGATAGCATTTTATTTCGTTCCTGAATCAAAAGAGAATTGTAAGATGGAAAACCTGGGAATTTTATTTCTACCCTTTTTATTTCATTTCAGGTCCTTTAAGTGCAGACACAGACCTTTCAAATCACTATTATGGTACAAACAGCAGTTCTGTTGCAGCTGCCATCCTGGTACCATTCTTCGCTCTAATATTATCAGGGTTTGCATTTTACCTCTACAAACACAGGTATTGTAAATCTTATTTATTCAGTAACTTCATGAGCTTTTTGTTTTAATTTTGATAGGTAAATGTAACCAGAGAAGACAATACTAAAGCTTCCCAAAATATCTTTTCTCTAGAAAGACAAGTATGAACGGCTTTAGTGCAGGGCAGTTCTTAATGGTGAACAATTAGAAAAATGAGTCACTGTGTTAAGGAGCAAAGATCTATCAACCTTATTGGTTCATAAGGCTGAATCAGACTCAAATCTCAGGTTACATATTTATTCTTTAATTTGAATGCTTTATTAAATTGAATATATGCTGCTTCTTTCAAAATGCTTATGAGTATTAATTATACAAGCTGAAAAATCCATAAATCTCATGAGGGAACAGCCCTTAATGAGACAATTTACAGTACATGCTGAATAAGCTAGTGGATACAACTAGAATTGGCATCACTTCAGCTCATATGAAACTTTTATATGTCATTAGATAATAGAATAAATCCAACCACCTTGTCTAAAATTTGGTTTAAAAGCTGATATCTATGTATCTATTGAACATTCGTTCATTGTGAGTGCTATTTGGCTAGAGCTTTCTGGAATAATTCTTGGGGTTTTATGTTGAACTACAATACTCAACACAATAGTCAACTCACAATACCTTGTGTTACTTGTAGTTTCCAAAATGGTATTTAACAGAAATGCTGATATTTAATAACATGTTCTTAAAACTTTTGTTCAATAATCATGATGCCAAGAGCATTTCATGATTGTGAGAAATCACATAGACAAACTTTTTTTGAAAAAACTGTTCAGGAAGAGTGTGAACTCTGATTCAGAACATGTTATTGTTAGATGCCTTTCTGAAGTGTACAGATCTGCATTCTCAGATTGCTTCTGTTCTGCAATGCGAGGAACAGAGCAGAAGAAAGCATAGGCATTCAGATTGGGAAAAGAGATGGAATGTAAAAGGAACATTGCTGTGACTTTGCTCTTAGAAGAGGCAAACTCTAAGAAAAACATAATAAAACTGTATTGTGACATAGAGGTACATTTTCTGGTTTATTCTATGAAGTTTGTTATGTCCTACATGAGCAGTGGAGATTCTGTTTTCTATTTAGTAGAAATATATATGTATTTAAGAGAGATAAAACTTAGTCTTCAGACAAGCAGCTGTAATCCTAATGTTTTTGGTATTGCTGGTGCAGCATTGTATTCTGCCTACCTTATGCTAAGGTAAATGCATTAGATACTTGAAAATGGAGATGTTACTCATAACTTAATCTTTCAAATAATATTTCTTTTTTTAAATATATTTTCAAACAATTTCTTCCATTAAACCATTTTTTTAGAGGGGTTATCAGTGTCATATTGTCATCAGAAAATTAACAATCTGATTACTGATGTATAGTAACTTTAGGTCATCTTTAATCTCCTCAAAACAAAGGATGTTCCAAAGGAAAGAACAGAAACTATGACTTTCAAAATGACTTTCTTGAAATTACCTTAATGACCAGAGAATAACAATATGAAATTTTCACAATTATAGTAGTTACGCCCCTAGAGGCTTTCTATGTTAGAGAATTTGAAAGTCTTCTTAGGGAACGATTTTATGGATGTTTCTGCTGTTCCTACATCAGATTAATATAATCTAATTAGAACCATCATTGTTAAACATATTTTACCCAGTTTCTGTGCCTTTTATCTGACAAGCAGGGATTACTTCAGGAATGAAGACAGCATCTCAGTTTTCTGAACAAAATTAAAATATATTTAATTACTTACACTTAGGAAAGCTCCTAGTTAAGATTTCTGAGCATGTTTCATTACTTCTTAAAGGACTTATTTATGAATAGCAGAATTATTTTTAGGTTGCCAATTTCCATTACTCATATCTTTCCAGTGACAGTTTTCCCTATGTGCTATCCAAAACAGAATAATTTTCTAAAAAAAAAAAAAAGGTTGATTTTCAAGAACTGTTTTCTGAAGTTTTATCATGAGATTCTTTTCTGAATTGTTTTACATATATTAAGCCACAAGCATCTACATTTTGCACTCTTTTGTTGACTTTTCTTTCTGTTTCAGTTATGCGTATAAAATGATATGCTGAACCTCCTTTATACATTTGTTTAGATACCTCAGATGCGAAGAGATTTAAGGTTAAAGTTGTAAAATATAACACAATAGGATATAATTTTACTAGACATATCAGGAAGTCTGCACAATTCGGTCTTATTTTTCATTCAGTTGTTAGCTTAATATGTTCTAAAAGAACTTTGCATAAAAATGTGAACATCCCTGAAGTTTTGGAATGTTCTTTATGGTGGTAAAACACTATCTGAAACAGAAGAGCTGTTAATGAAAGATAATTCTTTGTATCCTTTGATATTCAAATGCCAAAATTTATGTGAATATTAGGATTTGATCAATCTGACTATATATGTTTGGACATATGAAATCTCTGACAAGAAATTTAGTAGTGTTTATCGCTGGAAGTATTTATGGAGGTAAGCAGGCATGCTATGGCAGATCTGTCTGGAATAACTGAAATTACCGACCCTTATCTGGAGGTTACTACCACTAGCAGTACAAAATGTTCTGGACACTTGCTATGTCAGTGCAAGAGTTGCCTGATTGAAGCTGTACTGGCTGACTTTGCACTGACTTAGAATAGTAGTACCCAGGAGACCTGTTACAGCGCTTCAGTGGTGCAACGCTAACTTCCTGCTCCGGAATAGTAATAAACAACTGATAGCAGCAAATTACTAAACCATTCCCTGTACCTCTGCTTGAAAACATCTAAGTCAATAAAGTCTGTGGGTGTTTATCTCATCTAAAACCCAAGATGCTATCAAAAAGATTAATTAGGAGCCACTCACACTCGTCTTTCTATGTACACTTAGTCATCTACTCCATTCAAGTCTTTTAAATTGACAATTTGTAATGATCTTCGAAACATTTGCACAAATGGTCCGGTTTCCTTCCTGGGTATACTGTAAAAATTAGTGTGGGTAAAATCCCAAATCTCCATGAAAGCCAATTAGAATATACTTGATGGTGATCAAATTAAATTCGCCTATTAAAGATGCTACTGTACTTTTGACATTCATATCAATACCTTAGAAAGACAAGGATATATATTTGGAAATTGGTGTTAATTCAGTAATGCTTACGCTCTGTGTAAGGATTATTTTATGGTCAGACTACCAATCTAAAACTGAAAATGTAATCATAATTGTTACTACTGACAGAAAATATTATAAATGTTATCAGTTCAAAGTTTACTTTTGTTTGTACTTTTGTTGTACGTTGCTTTACTTTTGGCTGCCAATTTTGGCACTAACAACAAGCTACGAAGTTGTCATTCTTTTGAAATTTTTAAAATAGAAAACGCATACATATATTTTGCCTACATTGACTCTGTGCTTTGTAGAATCGGTTTTCCCATTAGGAATTTGTTTTCGTATAAAAAATAACTTCCAGACACATTTCTCTTACTTTTTAAGTCCCTGCAACATCCTTTATGGGTTTCCTTTTATCAGTTTTAGGCAGAGTCGTGCAACTTGTATAGACAGGTTGGAAACACTATACATACAACTTGCAATAATTGTTGAATGTTTTTCTGTAAGGATTGCTAATAATAATTTTGTCTTTCTTTCCCAGAACAAGACCAAAAGTACAGTACAATGGATATGCTGGTCATGAAAACAGTAATGGACAGGCTTCATTTGAAAATCCCATGTATGACACAAACTTAAAACCCACAGAGGCAAAGGCTGTGAGGTTTGATACGACTCTGAACACAGTTTGTACAGTGGTATAGCCTTCAGTGCCCAATATGACTGATTCATAGCCATACCTCTGATGGACAAGCAGTAATTCCTTTGGTGCCATATACCAGTTTCCCTTCTTCTCTTGGCTTTGCTGCTGTAATCTTTAACATCTTCTGTCAGCCTACATGCAGCTAAATTTTCTGGTAAAAATGTGTCAGTCTTCTGGGGATCAGGCAAAGAATATTTTTTCATCTTAAAGTTGGATCAAAATGCCTGGCTGCATCTGCGTCAAATCAAGGCACACTTTAAGGAAGACTGCCGAGTCATGCCAATTTGTCATATTTAATGCCTCAGACTTTCATATTTGTATGTGGCTGGATGCCTTTCAATGCATTCTTCTGGGCACTTGGATAAATCCTTTGAGTACTGTGACAAACGATAGCACCACAGATTATCCCCGGGAATATTCTGAAGAAACAAAGCTCTCTTGAAGGAGAAGACAAACTTCCTTGAGGTTGCATACACCTGCAAATGCTTTACCATTGAAATCTTGCTAAAATTAAAGAAACTTACAGTGTATCTCATACATAGGGCAGTTTGCCAATTTCCCAATCAGCCGTTATATTGCAAAATGTTAATGCACAATTTTTTTGCACTAGAGTGTTATGGATGACTGAGTAAGATACTGGTAAAAATATACAGGGTTTCTACACACTGTCCATTGTATATAGACATTCACTCACTCTTTGCCAAGCAAAACATTCCACAATAAATTTACTTGGAATATTAAATTATGAGCCCCATGCTTAGTACCAGTTAAAATCTTGTGCGATAGAGGACAATATTTCTTTTGTCAATTTTTGACTAAATTTCTTTGTAAACATGATTACAAGTCACTGGAGACTTTCAGCCAGAACAAGAATCCATTTCTAAGAAATTTTCATTGCCAGTATTGTTTTCTTCTGAAATCAGTCATCAATCACCATTGTCAGTATCATACTATTTAACAGCAGGGGGGTTAGCAGCTATTGCTGCTTGCCATGTACAAATGTGAATAGTAATTTATTTTAGATAGCTCATAAAGCCTGTGAGCCTGTGCTCATAATACAGTCTTCCCTTTTACATTTTTTTTCCATTTTTTCCTGTAATATGACATCATTTTCTGATGTTACATGGAACTAAAACGCATTACAGTAGCATATGTAAACCCAGTGCAACTTGACTATAACAAGCTGTCATTCAGTTTCTACTTTGAACAAAGAAAAATGCTCAACTATCTTTGCTTTCTGTTTCTTTCCAGATTTTTAAAACACACTGCTTACTGCTTTTGTACTTACACTGTTTGACAGAGAAAGCTTGACATTTGTAAATATGAATGGTTGAGTAAATCATTAACATTTGCTTAGAATTAGAGATTTCATTGAATGAAAACAAACAAACAAAAAAGATGCCATTGGGCTGATTAAATAAATTGAGTTTTAAAGTTAGGAAATTACAGGAAATAATGAAGCAAAATCTGATTTTACTCATACACATTGAGCTCAAAAAACAGGCAAGTTGCTTTGCTTTTCTTTAAAATTCAGGGTTGTTTTTTGTTATTATTGTTTTGTTATAGTCTTCTGAATTTCAAACTGTCCTAATGTCCAGTTGCTATCAAAAACCGTAGAAAAATGTCTGAAATCCCTATGTGTGTAGGTCTGGCTGTTATACACAAAACAAAAAGGTAATGTAAGCCCAATAACAGATTTTTCAGCTAATGTTGCAGAACACAAAGAAAATTTCAAAGGTAACCCTTGGTGAGTTTAACAACTCTACATCTGTTAGATGAAAAATACCAGCAATATAACACAGTATTGTAGGGCCTCCAGCTGTTATATTCTTCATATGAGCAAGAAACTTTGAAGAAAATTTAATAAATAATCCTTTCCAGTCAGTTCCTTGTTCATTTTGTTAGTAGTTTTTGACTTTCTTTTTTGTTTGTTTCTGAGATTTTTGTGCAGTAAGTTTCGTTTACCTGTCACATCTCAGAGCCCTTTGCGTTTCCTGAGAAAGAACAAAGTCATCAGATCAAAGTTGTTGTCCTGATCCTCCCCCATGTAGAAGAAGTTCCTTTGCAAATGAAGAGCTTCCATAGGAACAGTGGGCCAGGGAAGGAAGCTGTTGTGTGATTAAAGTTGTGACAGGTGTTCAAAATCAACATTACTGCTTTGGAAATCTTTCTGTAGTGGCAATGGCAGAAAAAAAAATGGAGTATTGAAAACAAGTGCAAATTTCTAGCTAAGTAGCTATTATTGATGTTTCCTACTCTTGCCCTTACAGTGTATTTTTCAGTGACCTGTCTCACTATGACCACCGAGGAATGCGTTGGAGGAAAGATCCCAGGAAAGAGAATAGTTAAATTATTTATCTTTTGTGTTAGAAAGCCCAGATTCTGTGAATCCTTTATCTAGTGGTTCATTTTGGGGAGGTAAGGAGTGTTTTACCCAAATGAGTGTTCTTTGAACAGGGACACTCAAAAATGGGGCATACTGACAAATTATCTCAAGATTTTTTTTGAATATTGATTAAACAGGAGCTACAGATTGGAACCCAAGTAAAGGAAAACTCTCATAGTTTTATCAGTTCTATCCACATCTTTCAAATGCCTCTCCTTCTCTGCTGTGATTGAGTCTTCTGTTCAGATTGGATCTTTCTCCTGAAGTTATTTTACAGAGGGCTGTGTATGCATGCACTTATATATTGTCCTTCATCAGAATAAGACTCTTAAAATGTTGTGCAGTGGCCGGATAATGGCAGCCAGGAAATCTGCTTTTTGATATATATGCAGAAGACTTTTTCCCCAGTGTTGACCAGATCATTATGATGGGCTAATAATACATGCTATATATTTTTTTTAAAAGAACAGGTTATGTGCTTCAAAGCTGTTAAAAACTGCTGCTTGTATCACACATCTTGCCTTTCTCCAGGCTAGCTGCAATAATTTTTTTTCTTGTGTAAAATATTTTGTAAACAAAGAAAAGCTGTTATTAAAAAAAAAAAAAAAGGTGGGAGGGTGAGGGTGGGGGGCTTTGGGAAGAACGCCGGCATTATGATCAAGTCAATCTAATTTTCATTCCCAGTATTTCATTCTGCCATTTCACTACATGCTGCTGTGACATGAAGTAGGTGCAAAAGAACTTTTTGTACAGAGATATATTTTTTATGAAGAATTTGTAAAATTATTAAATATGCTGTACTTTTTTGATTAATGTAGGTAAATTGTTAAAAATAAATGTTTTTACAATACAAAAAAAATTGTAATTTTCCCAATAATGTAAAATTTACCATCTTTAGCTAATTTTCAGTTCTGATCCTATTACACATGTATTAATATTAAAGTGGCCTGTTAAAAATAAACAGTATTCTCTTTGGCAAAAAAAAAAAACTATAAAAGATTGTAATATAGCCTGTGCAATGCCACCTACATTGAAAGCAAAATCAGAGTTCTAATTAAATATTTAATTTTAGATTTTCAGCTTTTGTGTGACCTATTCTTATCAACTTTTTTCCTTCTATGTAGTTTTATGCTTTTAATCTCAGATATTGATTTTTCATTACATTAGGTTGTTCAGTGGAATCTTGATCTTGTCATTTTAAATTTCCAAGCATTATATAACTTGGCAAACGTTTTTAGGTGCTGTCTAGTGAGATGGGATCTACCTCCTGTTATCTTACACTTGTCATTCCATTTTAAAATGGGACTTAGGCTCCCAGATAATTTGGTTGTTTTATAAAAAATAACCTATTTATTCTTCCACAAGCCTGTATCCTACGTATGAAAGTGATGGATCACATGGAGCCAGAGGTATTTCCAATTCTATCTGAGAGCTAGTTCTACAGTTACTTAGATGTACATACTTCTACTGAAATGAAAATGTTTACATACATAAGGATAGCCACATATATTAGTGTTTTCAAGATCAAGACCTGAAATTCTAAACATTTTTTTTTATTTTATTTTACTTTGTATTCATGTAAAAGATTTATGTATTTGATTTATTTGTTAACAGATTAAGAAGGATTGAGTCAGGCTTCAAGAGTATTCTACCCATTATTACTTTGGGAATCAGTAGTAGTACATGACTGTGATTCACTTTTAGAAAAAATTAAGATATGTGCATGTCCTTGCTTCCTTTCCCATCTTGACATACCTGTCCTTCTGATAATATGATATCTTATAGACAGCTGTTAAAAGTTCTCATCTCTCAAATGATCTGACTTTCCTTCTGACACTGAGCTATAAGCTATAATCACTATCAATGCAGATATCGAGGCATTATCTGACAGGAAGTCATAATTTTTACCTCTTACCGCAAACAATAGTCTAAGATACACCAAACAAGTGAACTATTGTTCTTTTCGCTATTACCAAACTGCAATGCCAGCTTTTGAAAATTATTTTCCCTTATGATCTCTTAAAAATGTAAAATGGTATATTTAATTTTGGATTCTAGACAAATCATTTATAGAAAATAAATCTTTTCCGTTTGTTGAGAATACAGTTATATGAGCCACTGTCACCTGATTCTGTAAAAAACCAAAAATATTTGGTTTTCATCTGCCATCTACTAGCTCTGCAGCAGCAGTAAAGTCATAAACAGTGTCAAAGGGATAAATGGAAAATGCTTTTTTTAAAGCTACTTTTAATTACAAACTCCAAGAAACTACTTTAAATACACTTCTACCTGCTTTAGTATGACTACTAAATTGAAACCACAGGAGCTTGAATGCATATGGCTTAATGTTTGAGAGAACAGAAGTCAGAAGGTGGAAGAAGAAGAGGTCTTATGTAGAATATTGCCTTTAAACAAGTACAATGAATTCCTTCTAAGCATAGAATAAATTAATTTTAAGCATGTGTCTGTAATGCACAGAAAGAAAAAAAGAAAGTTTTGCTTCAGGGATCAATCCTAGAGGCCTTTTTTGGGTTAGAGTCAACAGCAAAGTAGTATTACAGTTTCAAAACCTTGTCAATAACAGTCTTCTAACACAAAATTCTTTCCAC